AAGTATCCTTCAGGTGATAACTGCCGGCCGATTGGTTGCCAAACGCCGAGTGAAAGCTCCTGATCTGGGAGTGACCGAAACGACAGGCGGCGGTCGCGTATTCATTCCAAGTGGTCGGGTCTGTGTCCGGCTCGTAGGCCGTGTAGCCCCGGTTCAGCACATTCAGGCTGTAGTAGTCCATGAGTTGGGAACCAAAAACAATCCTCAGGTACTCGTTATACGTGATGTGTTGAATCTCGGCGATGACCAGTCGTCGGGCCTCTTGGTATAGGGTCTCGTCGTTCCAGTGGCCGTTCACAGCGCGCAATGAAGTGGCTATGAGGTTGTGTCGGCGCAAAAACATGAGGTGCATAGACATGAGCGACGGGTGTTGATTGCATCGCTGGTCGCCCGCGTAGAAACACTGCATACCCGCCGACGGAGGGCTGCACTCGTTATTCCAGGGCGCGGGTGTTGTCGGCAGTATTGGCCGCCCGAACCGGTCCTGACTTGTCTTCAGCAGGCCTTGTAATTATAGGTTTAGGTTATAATGAGATAATTGGTGGCAACAAAAACAGTTAATGGTTACCGAATCGGAAGGTACGGATGGGCGCCGAGTCGTTGGCTGTGTTGCCATAGATAGTGCCGGCGTCCAGGAAGGAGGTGGCGATATTGGACTGTTGTCTCGGCCCTAACCATACATAACATGTTAGTATAAATGACATATTCTCTGACCAAATAGTGGACACAATTACCGATTTCGCATAGAGGACAGGGCGCCGATCGGATAAAATTCATGCACGTGTTGTTATACTTGGCGTAGTGATAGTCGTATGGCGTGGGCTCAATACGTATGGGCAGACACTGGCGTATATTTGGATTACGGCAACAGTCGGTGGGCGCGCTATAGCTGCCGGACAGGGCGTAACTGAAGAACACGGGTGAGCGTAGTGATAGTCGTATGGCGTGGGCTCAATACGTATGGGCAGACACTGGCGTATATTTGGATTACGGCAACAGTCGGTGGGCGCGCTATAGCTGCCGGACAGGGCGTAACTGAAGAACACGGGTGTGTGTGTGATGTCGTGGTTGACAAACTGGCCGAAAGCCATTTTCATGTGGGTGTAAAACGACTCAAACGGCTTGTCAGAGGTCATAATGTTGATGAGGGTTCGGGCGGCGGGCAGTTGGGAGCCATCGCTGGCCAATCGGGGCGCTTGGAAACCGTCGGCGTAGTCCGGGGGCAGTAGCCGCAGGTGACACACGTAACTCTTGCCCCAATACGGGTGCCGCCGGTTATTGCACGAGCCGTCTATTGTGCGGTACTTGTTGTTAAAGTCCGGGCACTGCAGTGTCCAGCCCTGTCCGCCGTAGCTCGAGTAGCAACTCGTGTCACCCAAACGGTTCCGAAAGTACTGCTGACCGACGCTGACTGTACGTCTATAGTGCGGTACTTGTTGTTAAAGTCCGGGCACTGCAGTGTCCAGCCCTGTCCGCCGTAGCTCGAGTAGCAACTCGTGTCACCCAAACGGTTCCGAAAGTACTGCTGACCGACGCTGACTGTCGGCAGGAATGTCGTTGTCTGATATTTACTCAAACATTTGCTGTTTAGGAGAAAAACAAACGTTTTTTTAAGTATATGGATAGGGAGGGGACAGTCGGGTGAAGGATATTGTCCTACAATTTAGCCAAATATTCGGTAACGTATTCCATAAGAACGGCCTCTTTTTCCTTCAGCTTTAGTGGTGGCGATTGAGACGTGAAGAGTGAATAGTTGCCGAACTGGCGGTCGTAGTCCCGGAGCTGATGGTAGGCGTAGTCGAATGCGGACTCCATGTCCTGTTGGCTGATCTCAGGAGCGCGGCTGTAGTGTTGAGCGCAGGCGCCCGAGTGGTACAGATAGGCACCGGTGGACAAGTATGAGCCGTATATGGATTGGGCGGTGTATCGTTTGCCCGAGAAGTACTGTTGCTTACCATAGGAGCCGGGACTGTAAGTGCCCGGTATGTTCTGGTACGGCGACCTTATGTTTGTCCGGTTGTATTGATGTCCACCACCACCACCGCCGCCTCCGCCAGGGCTGCCATTCAAATAGTTATAGCTCTGGTTGTATGCCTTACCATAATTGAATTGAGGGGCAGTAGTGTTGTATCGTTGATAGTTAGGCGCCCTGTAGTTGTAGTTAACGGCGCCGTACATCACACGCATGTAGTTCTGGAGCCCGGGATTAACACCATAGGGACCATACGCTGGCGCCACCGGTGGCCTCACGTGTACCGGTGCTGCCGGTATTGGGTAGTGGACGGGTATTGGCCCCGCATATGGGGCTGAAGTATAGTTAATGTTGGGCTTATTGTTGTCGTAATTCTGACAATAAAATCAAGTTATTTGTGTGTCTCTCGAAGACAATTGCAATTATCATTTACATTGTTTCCGGTGTTGTCGTAATTTTCGGGACCATAATTCAGTTCTTCGTGACCCTCGGCGTTGTGTCCATTGAAATATTGGTTCTGGTAATTACCCTCACCGTAAGGATCGTCGTCGTCGTCATCGTCTTTGTCACTCTTGTCGATCACATCGTTGGACTTTAAACCCCCGGCTTCCAGTTTATCGGCCTCTTTGACCACTTCTTCGGCCACTTTATCCTCCACTTTGTCTGATCCGTCGTCGGGAATAAATGCCCGTTTAGACTGCCCTTTGTCTTTGGTTAGTCCCCACGATTGTGACAAACAGCACATCGACAACAACACAAGACTAATAGTCAGACATGTCCTGCAAAAGTGTCATCAAAAGTCTATCATATTTTTCATAATCACAACTTTGTAACAAAACTTTAAATGTTTTGCCATTTTATGTTATAATCAATGAATGATTGATTGATTTCTGTAATAATACCGATAATTAAGCTTAAATTTATGGCTCATTTTGCAGATCATTTGATCGCCAATAAGTCATAAGTCAATTGAAAGTCAAAAAAGTTGAGCACAAAAAATACCAAAACAACAGAATCGACTCAATATACTAATCACAACCACTAAAAGCCTATGGAAATTGGCTTACAATCAAAATAATCGTAATTTAATTGTGGATCAAATGACTGCCAGACCTCTGTCTACACACAGGATATAGTGGTTATCAGTGATTATCTCAATTCGCAATTATAGCCGAAATCAGCGATTTTTCACTGAATATTCAAAAATATGCTGACATTCGCTGTGTTTTGATTTAAATATTGATATCTAAAAAAGCAAATCATATATAATTTCTTTATTTCACTCATTAATGATAAAATTAATTATAAAAATTTGTAATAAAATAATACTAAATAATAATAATAAACATAAAGAGAGTATTAATCGGAAACAAAAACACAATAATTTCCATAACATAAACGACAAAATGATAATAAAAATAACAATTTCTAAAACAAAAACAATTTGTTAAATGACTGAAGAGTATAATCAAGTAATCGTTGATCTATTGGCGCCATTGGCTGATATCAATGTCGGGGATCTCATCACAGTCTCGGATCGGATCGCTATCACAACACAAAACATCAAACAAATTAATTAAACCATTAATAAAGCAAAAATTCAATCTCAATGACAAACCTATCGCTATTTAATTGAAACACTTTTGAATGAATTTCCTTAAAATTATCGCCGTTTATACAAATGATACGCGAAAACAGTGTCTTTCGGATGGCCTGCAATTGACCTGCGATTCAATGGCCAGAAAATACACGTTAGCTTTGGATGAGTTAACAAGTAATTCAATTACCAGAAGTGAATGAGCCGTCCTGTCCTTCGTGTTCAAAGTAGAAGCGGTCGCCGTATTTCAGATGATTAAACTGAGTGCCTATTATGCAGGCAAACGTCGGCCCAACTATCGCCCCATTCATCGGCAGCTCAGAGATACCGCCGGAGAACAGGTCGATGTCCTCCACGTGTTGGTAGTTCTGTTGGAACCGTTGCCGTTGCGACGACGGCATGTATTGGTCCAGTTGGTCAAACCTGGTGATCACCTGAAGTACATAACACACAGACACACATAAGTTATTGTAGAAACACGTGATATCAGGAGAAAAAATCATACCTCGTTGAAACAAAACTTGAGATAATGAACATAACCGGGTAGGCCGTGATCTCTACCACGTTGTATATTCATGGCGGGCAGGTCTGCGCCGGAGAACTGGCCCCGGGGTTGATACAAGTGGTTGCGAAGGTCTCCGTGACAGAAGGGGTCGAAGCGTTGGGCACTGCGACCGACGAGACCGCGTAGGATAAAGTCCATCTGACCTTGATGCATTCGGGTGGGCGTAAAAAAGTTGTCCCTTAAATTGAACGATG